TCTCCTCTCGATGCTTCAACGACTGACAGTGGTCTGCACCAAGTTTTCGTTTAGTGAGCGGCTTGCATATTCGATAGCGTTGGAGCAAATTTAATATTTTTGCGTCTTAAAAACTACATTAACAAGATTGCCTTTCCTATAAAATTCGTTATATGAAGTGCTGTCGAAACTTGTTGGAATAAGCAATAAAACAGATAATATCTCACCGGGAAAGAAGAAGAACAAAGGAAATTCATAACCGTTGGAAAATTGACTTTACTTAAATTTTTATAATTGAGCCATTCGTGTCGCCCTTCGTTTCGTAAAGTTCGTGATTTTCATTTATATGTTACCGGCCTGGAGTGCTCTGCTTTAAAAGCAGAGCCTAAACCTGTGTGACAAATATGGCTTCTGTCTTCTGTTCCTTTCCCATATAGTGGTGATCATGACCTGACCGTAGTTCAAACCCGAAACTTCTTAATTTGAGAAGAGTCATGTACCTAAATAATCTCTATGCGAAAAGATAACCACGCCTCCAATGAATGACAGTAGCAATAGTTTCAGTTTGCTTTTATGTTCCTTGCTATGATTTGCGGATATAGCTCGGTTGCGATTGCTACTGACGTTGCATGACGTCATTGTCAATGCACAATAGCAATGAAGCGCAAATAAGGGCTGCTTTGAACCTTCTTCGTCAAAAACTTGTCAGATTTTGGGACAAGATATTGAAGCCAATGTTCATGACCAGTGGTCATTTGTTTTATGGCGTGAGAGGCAACAGCACGACATAGGCGTATTTCTGAAGGCTACGTGCGCTGCATCGGGTGACCAGACGTTTCGTCAATATCACAGCAGTTTTTACTTTCGCCGTTAACGTTAGTGAGTACTCGAATGCTAACCGTTCACATTTCAGAATTTCTTTCCTGGAAACCTGTCTGAAGTGTATGTCATGAGGCCTGACGGAATCATTCAACGCGCGCTGGAAATGGGCTACCGCAGTATATTCGAAAACTGCTGTTTCAAGGTAAGCACTGCTTGTCTTCGTGTTTGCTTCGACATCATAACAATGACGTGCTGCACTTATTGCAGACAGTTGTGTGCAACAGTGACCACGAGCTGCATGCGTCTGTCAGTCCGAAATGCTTAACTGTAGACCTGGGTGGTACCATGCAGTACAACCACCTGGAATGGATGCAGGACCGGATGGTAGACGAAAGACCGACTGACCGGCTACACCCTGTGTATATTTCTTAGTGTGTTAATATAATGGCGCCTTTTAGGAAGTGGAGCGCTTCCGATCATGCGCACAGGGCATCGCTAGGTGTATGGAGGACTTCACTCAGTGCCTGAGGAACACCGAATTACCGAACGATGCCGAAACGACTCGAAGTATCTTGGAATCCCACAGAGTCGAACGCGAAGCAATAAAAGTAAATTATTCGAAATGTCATTTCGTGCTCTTTGCAATGAACCGGTTCCGGCCGTCCTCCAGTCGTCGTCACTCACTAGTTCTGTCAACATATGTCGTTTGATGTCTTAATCGCACACATTTCGGCGTGTACCTCACTGCTGTTCTCCACTGTCCTCGTTTCCTCGCTGCCACCACTTCTGCTGGACTTTATGAACAATTCAGGAGATGATTCAGTCGTCAATGGATGTGATATCTGCCAGTGCATCTCGCAGCTGCCTTCGGCTACGTACAGCGCGTTCGTCACTATTCTGGTAGGCTCAGCATTTTCATCGTAAAACGAGGTAAAACTTATGTGAAACTATTTCCGAAATGCGCCTCACGCTCACACTTCACCGTTGTCTGATAGCGACGCCTGCCTCGCTCTGCAGAATTTCCTATGAAAGCTGCGTGACCCAAAAACGGAAAAGAAGAAGGATGGTCTAAGCGTTGTAGCATGGAGTTATATCGTTAAAGCGGTCTACATTTCAGACACACACTCGCTAAAGATCCTCGGGCCTTGCAAGCCACATTGATTAAGTATGTTGCTAGAAACAGCGGTTCGATCCTCGAATGACCTTTCACCCCGTTCTCACCGCTATGGCGCAAGAACGACATTCTAAATGATGCAGAAAAAACGAAGTCACGTTGAGGCACCGTCGTGTGATGACAATTTGACGTTAAGTTGACATCGCAATGCAAAAAATATCAGAAACAAGTGTATGCTTGAACCACGTTTCTCAGTTTCGATCCATCGAGGCCAAGGTCAGGCACGGCATGATGGAAACGTGCTTCGCATTCCTCGCAGTTTGTTTGAACTGTTTGTTTTTGGCCATTGTTTACTTTCTATTGAGCCTGCTTCATCCGCGCGATTGGTGGCGATTAACTGCTGCATGACTTTTTGAAACTTGTTGCCTTACACGGTTCTCTGTCCCCCCCTCCCCAATGTTTTTATCGATCCTCTAGCTTTGTCGCACAGCGTCTGGCGAGGAACATCTGTCTCACAAACCGAAGTTCCACCTGTACGAGCTGTCGTAGTCAATCGACCCTGACCCCCGCAAAGCGAGGACCTGTTTTCGATCAAGCTTTCATTCCTGTCGAAACCAATGTGTCTCTTGTCTTCGACCTCTGTAGAGTGCTGTTCGG